GTCTGGTAAGGAAATTAATAAATAACATTAATCTTGACCTCACTCCGCACCAACGCGCGGTGGCTAGGGGCTCCTGCGCTTCGGGTCGCGTGTTCGATTCCCGCACGGAACAACTCTTTGTGTGATCCACAGATTGTTGTTCCGTGTCTGTGTGTCATGTGTATGTGAACTTGTATGTTTGGAAACGTACACGACACAGGAGACAATCCTAGGTATTTTTTTTTTTTTTAAGGGGGGAAAATCATCGTATGACTACTCCCGCCTGGGTGAGGCGGGAGGGAGTGTCAGACTCTTACTGACTAAAAACCACCCCGTTCCTTCTCCTGCACGTCGAGCCGGAGCCCCGGTTACCCGTTAGGTTCTCCGCGACACAATCCTAGGTATGGGGCGACGAATTTGGCCCTAGATTCTCCACGTCCGTCAGGACGAATGTGAATTAGTCAGTCTGTCTTGACAGACAGATTGACAAATAAACCAACACACACATTCGCATACATACATCTCACATTTGTGATTAATTGCACGGTTGGCGCGGTGGTTGGGTAACTGACTGCCGCGCAACGTGTCGCGGGTTCGATTCCCGCACGGAACAACTCTTTGTGTGATCAACAGATTGTTGTTCCGTGTCTGGATGTGATGTGTACGTGAACTTGTATGTTTGTAAACGCACCCACAATCCAGGAGATAATCCTAGTACAGGGCAAAGTTTAACAAAAAAATATATTTTACCGATAGTGTAAAGATAACTAAAATATTTTATATTAATATGTTCTCCTTACCTTACCATGAGCAGGCGTCAGGGTATACCAATTTTTACTCGCGTAACAGTTATTGAGGTAGCTCGACTAGATTCAAGCCACAACGGGGACCCATAATCTATCATATATATATCCATATATTATTATGTACTTCTTCTTACCCTTACCATATTCTAGTCTATTCTACTATAAGCAGGTGTCAGGATATGCTATTTTTTACTCGTATAACAGATAGAGTCGCTCGAGTAGATTCAAGGGGGGGGGGATCATGAATAGTTTTGAACAAGTCACGAGTGTAGCAAAATTTAACAAATGTGGTTTCTTGGTTAGGTTTCTTTGAAATTAAGCAATAATGACCTTTATTTCTTAAATAATAATATTGGTTTTTGTTTTAGGCCTGGGATCCCCAATGATAGAAATAATGGCTGATACCGCCGTAGCCCTGGCCTCAGCTAATGTCCAGCTAGTCTCCAAGAAAGTCATCGGTCGCATGTGCAGGGTAAGTCGTTGTTACAGAGGTTTGGAAATGGATGGGTGGGCGTTTTGTTTTTGTTTTGATAGTGGATGTTTTATGAGAGGTCAGGCTATAGTGTAGTTTGGTTAGTAGATTACTTTTCAATGCAATAGAGTATTCAAAATATTCATATTTTAATTCTGACATTCTGGAAAATGTAAACATTTGTAAAAATAATTTTAAGAAATTAATAATATTCGTAGTAAATTTAACGTTCATATTTGTGTCTGACCTATAAATTGACCTCTGAAAAATCTATTACCAATAGGTACAAAACATTATTACAATGTCCAAAAAGATAAAATAGTTGTGTTTTATAATAACTATCGTGAGACATACTGAATTAACTAAAAATCGCGGGTTACTCACGTGAATATACTGAGAGAAGCTCTACTAGTTTCGAGCCACAGAGGGGCTCTTCCTCATGAGTAGCGTGCGCGGTTGCGGCGATGTTGCGCAACCTACCGACGATACGACCGCGCACTTAGCTTATGAGGAAAAGCCTCTCTGTGCGTTGAAACTAGTAGAGATTTTTCACATAAGTAATCCTCAAAATTTAGTTAATTTTGATAAAATAATTCAATTAGAATAAAACTTGTACCTATGAAAATAAATGTTATAATATTAGATTTCATCAATGCATGACTGTGTTGGCATCCTAATTATGTATTGCTATCATACAAAATATTATATTTGACACTACTGCAAGGTTCTAAGCAGAGATGTTATGTTTAACATACGATTACGGTTTTATTGGGCCGGACCTCCGAGTTCGTTTTGGCATTTCTTCTTAGAGTAGTCTGTTACGGAAGAATGACCTCGTTGTTCGCTGAAAAAATTTACATGTAAGGGCTCGTACATTAAACTGCGATGCGATGCGAATTAGCATTTACAGAAGATTACGACACGAATTGCTGCGATGCGATTTCATACGACATGGCGTCTCCCAGGGTGACCATTCCTTCGGAGCCGCGGAAGGCCTAACGGGTTGCCGAGGCTCCGGCTCGAAGAGCAGGAGTAGGAACGGGGTGGTTTTTAGTCAGTAAGAGTCTGACACTCCCTCTGGTCTAACCCAAGGCGGGAGAAGCCATTGGATGATCTTCCTCCCTCAAAAAAAGGGTGACCATTCCTTCGACGACCGTCAACCGTACTAAACATATTTTAAATTGAAAGCTAATTGTGACATGGATCGTAAAAAGAAGTGTACACTTCTGTTATTGCTTAGGAGATACAAGAAAAAGAAACAAAGAAGATTTTGGGAAGATAAGATTTTGATGCGCGATGCGAATCAATTCGCAAGTTCTTCCGATGCGTAGAGGGAGCTCGCACATTTTTGCGATGCGACGTCGCATCGCAGTTTTGTGTACGAGCCCTAAAAGTGTAGTAAGTAGCCTATTTGCAAAAATAAATTCACTTGTATTCTCTTATATAATAGATGGAAGTCCTGTATTGTCCGACGTTTTACTGTATTTTTACTTTCATTGTATAAAAGCATCTGTGATAGTTTGTTAGACTATCACCAAAATCTCCACACTTGGCAGGTGAGTTGGAGATCATAATTTAAATTTAAAACGTTCAGGTGCAGAGTGCTCACTCTTGAAACCGATCCCAATGTCAATACAATTTATATCCAATAACTCAATAATTACTCAATGTCAAAACTATACAACCCCTATTGTAGCTGTTAAAATAGCATTCAGAGTGCGGAATATAAAGCCAAACTCAACACCATTTACTTCAGTTAATAACCACGCGATACGGATGCAATGGGCGCTAGTGTTGCAACTCAAGATTACGAAATTTCACAATAACAATGTCGATGGATCGGAATTGGATTCAAGAGCAAGCACCCTGATCTGCCCTATTACCACCGTTACGGAAACAGTACCCGCGAGACGAGTAAAGGTGGTTAATATCACCGTATATCTCATGTTAATTGTAATTGATCTGCTTAAGACCTTTTTGGATGAAGTTAGTGCATATTATCGTCATCATTGTCATCATCATCATCCCAATGGGCCGGCTCGACCAGAGTGATACGACGGCCGAGCAGAAAACCGACTTTAAACAGCGCTTTCAAGTTAATTTTCCAAGTAAATTAACATAGAAAAATTCAAAGGTACAACGGTAATCCGCCACCACGGATGGGGCCCAGTAGGGCTGATACCGATACGGAGCCGCGGAGGACTTAATAGGTTGCCGGGGTTTCGGCTCGAATTGCAGTTGTAGGAACGGGGTGGTTTTTAGTCAGTACCAGCAACCCGCCTCGGCTTCGCACGGGTGCAATATGCATGTATGCATGCATGCAAAAAAATCTATTCTCTCTCTATCTATATCTATTAATCTCTATCTATTAAAAAAAACCGCATCAAAATCCGTTGCGTAGTTTTAAAGGTCTAAGCATACATAGGGAGGGACAGACAGACGGCGGATAGAGAGTTTTTTTATACTATGTAGTGATGAGTCTGACACTCCCTCCCGCTTCACCCAGACGGAAGAAGTCAATCGATGATTTTCCCCCTTAAAAAAAATTAAAAAAGAACAGTAACTCCCCAGCCATTATCACCTCACCTGGTCGAAACATCTTTCCCTTTCCTAGCTTGAGAACATAGCACCATGTTCCGAGTACTAACTTCATCTTATTGACCATCTTAGTAAGTGTCAAATGACTAACTGCCATTTTGAATAACCTATCTATAGACTTGCTTACTATATAAAGATAACATTG